CGTGTTTTTTTTTTCGATTTTATATATCTTAAAACACAATAAAAGTGCCAATAATACCAAGAAAGGAATGACCTGAGACAATCTAACATAGAAACATGAGAGCACAGTTTTATCTTTATAAAAAAAATTATTAATAATAACAAAAAAAAACCACTACAGTATGTTTTTTTTTTATAAAGAAAACCACTAATCAGTTTACATGGCATGCCATCATTCACTAGTTGGGAAGAACCACATAGGCGCTGGGTAAGTCTTTCTCATGTTCTTAGAATCACATGGAAAATAGCATGGCGACACAGTCTTGTTCTCATAATTGAAGATGCCAATGTCATGGCCACCAGTTAGGCAATCCTCAACGAACGCATCTGACATTGCATCCGTGAAGTAAATGGAGTTGGGCTTGAGCTCCGGGAACTCAGCCGCCGGCAACGCAACTGCATCGCTGTGGAAGCCGACAAAAAGAGCCCAACCACCCAAATGCGAACCTTCCACATACTTAAGTTCCCCATCCTCAGGGTCATATTTATGAACATCAAAATCAACAGTCACAGCTGGAAGGCCGTGTTCCTCGGTGTAGGTATACAGCGCATTGCCATCAACATACAAACCATCAAATTCAAACGAAATAACCACGTGCTGAGTCACTACGAGGAGATCCTCCCCGGCAACCACCAGATTCTCCTTCGGCACACTCGTCACCCACAACTTCTTCTTACCTGTCCTCGGGAAGCCGAGCCGTCCACCACTCATATTAACATCAGATATCTTTACAGCCCTCGGTGACTGAGGCTCCCGAATATCCCAAGACTCCAACACGCCCCGTCTTGTGAGGCAAAACAATGCTTCATGTCTTGTGGAGTAGACACAATCAGCGTAGCCGCCCCCAGATACAGCCCTGCCCGAATCTTGATCAAACCAATGGTGATCTCCGATTCGGGTCCACTCCTTGCTGAACCCAGGGCAGCAGAAAGCCAGCGCAGCTATGCTGTTGTAGATCATGAAAGCCCGACAATCTGATCCGCCTGGGGAGCACGAGAGGATGACCTTCTTGTATAGTCCTTTTGAGGAGGGAGGGTAATCAGGAAAGTGGCGAAAGGGAGGGAGGCTTATATGACGACCAGTAATTGGGTTATAAAGAAACACGTCCAGGCTACGGTGGTCGTACAAAGCTAGCCAGCCGTGTGAAGATCCCCTAAACCGTATAAGAGGGTTCGTTAATTCTCTTTCTTTGCTGCTTTTTCCGGTACTTAGGGTTACGATTTTGTTGTCGGCGAGGCGGTAGAACTTGTAGCTCATGCTCGCGCTACCGATAACGTCGACGTCAAAGGCAGGCGGTAGCATAAGCCAAGGAGATGACAAGGATGATTGGTTCGGCTTGGCCAACGTGCTCATGCTTTTTGGATAAAACGAGGAGTTCAACCTATACCTGCACTTAGGTAGTGTTTTTAGTCAAACCGAGCTATTAAGTGAAAGCAACTCAATTTTGTTTGTAATACTTTAAATGAGTCGAGTCCAGTATTCTTATTTCTTAAACAAGCACTAGGTCGAAAACATTGTTTTCAACACAATTTGGCTCAAACAATGCCACTAATGCTATGTATACATGAAAATGTTTTTATTAAGTATTTAATGCAAATTACATGAATAACATAGTGAGACGAATGAGAATAAATTATTAAAAAAATGTCGAATGTTTTATAAAATATGTCCATTGCAAATGGAGCTCGAAGAGTAGTTATTGTTGACAATTCTCATTCTCTTGGCTTTTTGTTCCAATAATGGTCTAGATCAAAATGGCTTCTTCTATTAGTGATGTTTCTAGAAAACAATATATCAACGACACAATGCACCTTGGGTCGCTACGAAAACAACCTCCTTGTAATCAAACAAGGGACAAGGGTAAGGTCTGCGTACAACTGACCCCCAAACCCCAACGAAGTTGGGAATATATTGAGTATGTTGTTGGTGTGTGTGTTGGGTATGTTGTTGTTGTATATTATTTATTAATAAATGACCTTATTTTATATAAAGATTGCTTTCATTTAACATAAACTCGTAAATGTATTTATTTGTTAAATTCTTTACATTAAAAATAGACAATATTTTCTTCTTTCTATTTAGAAAAAATAATCTATTTTTTGGTAAATACATCTATGAATTTTAACCGATATACTTGTTACATGATGTATCACTTAAATTGTGAAGATTTAAGTGTGATTCCATTGAATAGTTAGAAATTGATTGCATGATTGGTATGCGGGAATGATGTGGGAATGAACATTACTCATTCCTATTCCCAGTACATTTTTTAGAAGGGAATGACCATTCCCATGGAAATTGTAAAACCCATCTATATGGGATTAGTCATTCCAAAGTTAGCTAATGGATGGTCTTTCTCATTCCCATATGTTTAGGAATAGATTTTCCAAAAAAATAAAATTAACAAATAATAATAACAAATAAATATATAATATATACTATATTATCATGACTAAATTAAATTAAATAAAATCATCTTTGAAAATAAAAAAATTAAAAAAGAAATTATTTATTAGTCATATTTTAATTAGATATATTAAATACTTATATTAAAATCAAACTCACAAAAAATGCATTTATATATATTTTAGAAAAAACTTATTTTACTTTGTATTTATATATTTATTCATAAATTGAATTATATTATAAAAAAGTATATTTGACAACATATGTTTGTAGGGGTTTATGTAATGATATATTTGCATTAGTTAATATGTATATAAATACACAATTCACTTATTGATTACATAACATTGGTGTAACAATACAAAGTATGCATTAAAATATAGTATATTTTCAAATTATAAAACAATATTAGTATTGTCATCAATAAGAAAATAACATTGATACAAATATTAATTTTTTCTACAAAATAGTGATAAATGATAATATAGGATGATAATGTCATTTCATCCCGGTCTTGTTCCTTCTGCATACCAAACGCATCAACGACAAAACTTGTTTCATTCCTTTTCCATAACCATTTTATTCTTAAATTCATTCAATTCCTACCAAATTCCATTCCATTATACCACTAAGTTGTATATTTCTTACATCAAAACATCATCTATTTGAAAATCAACAAGTATTTGTTGTATTCCATGTGAAATAATATATATGGATAGCATCTCAAAATTAAAATTGCCAAAGTGAATTCTATTTAACCAAATAATAAAAATAAAATTACAAGTTTATGAATTAGACTAAGATCATGCGCTCATATATAATTTATTGATTTATGCTAAAATAAATTTAAATAAATCTGAGCAAAATAAATTTATCATATGCTAAATTAATATAATATGTGCTAAAATACTTTTTTAGCATTATATATTTAGAACACACACACAAAAAAAAATAATAATAATAATAATAATAATAAAATAAAAATTGGGCTGGAGCCCGGACGAGCCTACCCTTGGCTAGGCCTAGGCCTGCAATATTCGGCAGAAGAAGAAGATTCAGCCATGCCTTTCAGATAAATGAGGAGTTAAATCTATACCTGCAATATTTAGCAGAAGAATGAAGAGTTAAAACGAAGAGTTAAAATCTATACCTGCCATCCATTTTCTGACAATCGGATAATTAAAGTATCCAGCAAACCATTTCCGACAAATCGAACGGGAAAGTGAGAAGGAAGAAGCCATAGATAGATAAACCTTCGAAAGTCGAACATTTGAACTGCCCTAATTCATGAATGGGCTTTAAGCCCTACTTGTGGACATTCCCGGCCCAATGCACGTGGTATTTGAAAACAAATAAAAATAAAATTGAGCGTGAAGAAATAAAATTTATATATTTATTGTAATATAGAAAAAATAATTATTAGGGAATTAAAAGAATTTGTAGTATTATTTTGAATTCTATGAATTATTTTTTTATGAAATATTATTTGTGCTAATTAGGATATATTAATTTTATTTTTTTCATAATTAAATAGAATAATTAATTTATTTGAAAATTAATAACGCCCTTGAACAACACGCTGCATGAAAAAAATTGATTCAAAATAGAGAAGTAAATATTTTTATATTCTTATTGAAAAAAAAAATAAATATAGTAAAATAAACTAACAAGGTTAATTATTTAATGGTATCCGTGTTTTCACTCATATTGTAATGTACAATATGGACGTCGAATCAAATATCGTTAAAAGATAATTAATTTTATATATATTAAAAATAAAATACAAACAAAAAATATTATAATTTCAAAAATTAATAAAACATATTTATATTAGTTGATATATGAATTAAATGATATAATCTATTAATATATAAAGAGGCAATGATATTTACTTGAAATAGTAACAAAAAATCATAAAAAATTAATTAGTTTCCCGCCTTAAATTTCATAAATACTAAACTAAGTAACTTTTTTAAAAATAAATTAAAAATCCCGCCTCTATGAAATCTGTTTGAATTTTTTAGGTATTCCTAATAAATTATAGATATGTTTGATTTTTTTTTCGGGTAGTCCAACCGAATTTGTTGATGTATATACAATTGCATTTGTCATGGCATTCCAAACAAATAAAGCTTTTTCCTTATCGTGAGTTTTAAATCAATTTGATTTGATAAATACTAGTGCGGTACCCGTGCGATACACGGGCTAGTTTTATTATGGTAAGTATTTAGATTGGATGAATGAAAAAACGTAAAACGCATATATTATAATAAAACGAAATGTAAATTATATATTAATAAACGCATTCTTGTATACAATATTATTTGTTTGCCCTTTTGTTAAATCGTCTACCGCTACAAATTAAAATTTTCAAACACTTAAGATTCGTAGCACGTGAAACATGCATAAAGCTGGCCGTTAAGGTTACATATATTAGGATTCTAGACAGGCTTAAATAAATCAATTAAATTATTTAGTAGGATATATCTTATATGATTTATATTTGTTTTATGAAGATTGCATAGCAAAATACAACGGATATCGTAAAACGTCTTTCTTGATAATCTATAGTTAATTCGAATTTTATATTGCCAAAAATAACAAAAATATATAAATAATAGTAGTTTAATAGGAAGTTCATTTATATGAGAATATGTGATTGAATTTTTTCTAATTGAAAATTTTCCTTCGGCCAATTTTTAGTTCAGCCAGATTTTTCGAATAAAAAATGAGAAAGGATGATTTTTAGAAAATCGTAAACACTACCGAAATCTACCAAAATTAAATCTACAATACCCATCATTTTAGGGTGCATTTAAGGTTAATCGATTTTTGAGGTTAATAAATTAAAAAAACCACCACCATGCAACAAATGAGACCTAATTATTTTCAATAAGATTTTTCGAATAAAAAATGAGAAACAACACCTATCAATTTAGGGTGCATTATGGATGACCTATTTTTTGGTTTAATATTAAAAGAAAATTAAAAAACTGCTGAAATTGGAATGCGTTAAATGTTGGTTGATTTTTATATTAATATTTTTTGTAAATAAGTTGTCTTTTTATATATTTATAGATTTGAAGACACTTACAATTTTTCTAAACTATTTTGGAAAAAAAACATGTCAAAAAATATTTAAACTTAATATAAATATATACACATATATATATACATATATATATATGTGTGTGTGTGTGTGTGCGTATATGTATATATAGTTATAATATGACATGATAAAATATTATATAAAAGTATCTAAAATTTTATAAGCCTAAATAAAGACATTATAAATTTTTTGAGAGAAAATTTACCTAGTATATATAAAATAAATATTGACATGATCCCAAATTATGACGGTACTTCTCAAAATTTGAGTACATAATATTTCAAAATTATATTTTTTTATTATAAGTTTGTTACCGTCAAATAAAAATCTTGTACACATAATAATTCTACGCTTTATGCAGATTTATTAAGTTTACAAATACAACTCAGAGATTATTGTAAACTGTAACAGATATATATATAACTAATAATCAGATAAAAATTGAAGACAATATTTAATTCTACATTTCTTCTTATAATTTTTTATTGTATGTGGTTTGGGAGAGAAATATGTGATAAATATACTAAAGACCTCTAAAATATTATATCGCATATATAAAAAGTATAT